TCACATCAAGGGAGCAAAGCAGTCCAGATTATGTGTCTTAGAAGAATGTGATTCAGGCTGCACAGAGAAGGGATTGGAAAAGAATGGAAAAGAACAAGACGAAGTGTGAGGCCAAAAGGAAACTATTTAATAAAGGCAGGGGATGGTAGTACTTGTTTTAGAATGTTTTGATGGATGTAGACAAAATTACGTAGAATCAAGATAAGAATCAAAGAAGGCTTTGAGATGGCCTAGCGATTGGAAGATGAGTAGTAAGCAGCCAATTTTTATCAGTTTTCCCATAAATTATTGATAAACACCAATGTACTTCTTGCAAAAGAATCATGGAAGAAAGGTTTGATGCCAGGAGAAATTTTCAGCTGTGACAGTGGACCATTCAGGAGGATGTGGGAAATAAAATCTCATTCCTGGCAAACTAGAGAGGTCAGATTGGCGGTGTAAACCTTGAACTCTCTATAATCACAGTCAGAAACCACAGAAAGCAAAATCTACTTAGCTGAAACTATAGAAGAAGATGGCAAAGGTTCCAAATATTAACAGAGAAAGGAATAAAAACAACACAATCAAAAGGAGTAAAAAGGAAAAACAAATGAGTATGACATAACAGAAATGGAAGAGAGACTGGCAAAGACCACTGGATGATCCAAAAGTTCTAACAAAATATGAACTTGAACGCTCATTATATTTGGTACCTGGTAGATTGGTCAATTTGGGGCCCAAAACGACTTTTTTTGGTGAAGATATGTAACAATCAGGTTCGAGCAGATTGGACCATAGAAATGAGACAAGAGACTACAAAAATAGTATTGCAGATAATACTTTCTGAAAGTTTTGCTGAAAAAGAAGGAATAGAAATATGACTGGACTGCACTTAAAGACAACCATGAAGTCAGGAGAATGAGCAACTACCTGTGAATCTATGGAGAATGTGAAATCCATTGCAAGCTGGTGTCTGTCTTAACCTAGGGTCTCCAAATGCCTGAGCAGGGGCATGCATGCAAGTGGTTTATGTCTGCATACAAACTCAAAGAAAGTCTATGGATGACTAAAAGGAAAGAACTGGAGAAAGGATAAAAACTAAATCAAGAATATATTATCATGGCCAGGCTTGGTGGTATAGGTCTAGGTTCCCAGATACTCAGAGGGCTAAGGTAGCTTCAAAGGCCTTTCTGGACTACAACCTAAGTTCAAAGTCAGCCTGGGCAACTTAGAGACAATGCCTCAAAATAGAAATAGAAAAACCGTGCAGGGCAAAACCAAGGGATAAGGCTACTGCATAGGATTCATGAAGCCCTAAGTTGGTCAAGCCCAAGTGCTATAAAGGGGTGAGGAGATGCTTTCTCAAACCCTGTATTCCAAACATATGTGCTTTAGTATACTACCAGACAGTCAGAGCTAGTAATGCTACAGTCCCTTAAGATATAATGTAAAATATATTTAGAATCATTCACAAATGAAACAGAAGATTAGAGTGCCACACCAACCAGGAATTGTCCACTTCAGTGTTAACTCCCATGCATTTCTGGACTTGTCAAGGCCTCAGAATGGCTTAACAGGATTTGAAAAATGCCAGCCTTAAAAGCAGCATTGAAGTCCAGGATAGAAAATGAAAGCCCATTCAGTACAGCTGAGGCAAGCATCTGCCACATTAAATCTAACAGCAGCCTATTGCCATGGCAACTGCTAGAGTAAAAGTTGAGCCAAGAGGAGGTGAAACAGCAAAGCAGTGCTTGATAGAATGCCTACCTTGCTGGCCACAGTCCACACTTTCTAGTCTGGAGACATCAACTGGCTTGTGTCTAGTTCATGCCAGAGGTGACATGTAGACTCTCATGGCTACTGGCCTCCAGACCTTCCTGCTTCTGCTTAAGACTAATTACCCCAGACAGCAGGGATACCTGACCAAGCAAATTAGCCAAATTAGAGTTTTGATATAGTCCTGGTGACAGAAACAAGAAATGTTGTCGAAACATCAAGCAATTAGCCCAGTATTTTATGAGCACATGCTGCATTGCAGACCTATGCGGAGAAGAAGATTGTCAGAAAATATTAACTATGGTGGCCGCTGTGATGTCTCATTAGGAGAATACTGGAAGAATGCCGTGGGACGAGATCTAAAAATAGAGAGGGCTAGATCTGATCTATAGGGCTGCGTGGAATTGTGGGTCCCTTATGTTACTACAGTGTTCCTGGAAGTACTGAGAAGAATCTCAGGGGTTCATGGAGAGCAACGATGAAAATTATTTTGTTAGACACTTCCGATTTCAAATACCAGCAGAAGTTAACACTGGGTCATAAGGTGACTTTTATTTTCTTCTGTAAATGTCTCTATATTTTTCATAAGCCTCATACTAAGTAAATATATTACTTTGGTATGAAAAGAATATGTATAGTTTTCAAATAACCAAAGTATACAAAGCAACTAGTACTCTCACACATTGCTGGTAAATATAAAATGGTATACCTGTTTTTTTTAAAAAATGCTAAACTGCTTTCTGTTTAAACAGATGCTGTCCATCTGACCCAGAAATCACACTCCAAGGCATTTACCCAAGAAAAAGAAGAACCTATGTTGTCTCTCTCTATCTGTATCTATCTATCTATTGATCTATCTGTCTGTCTCTCTGTTTATCTATCTAGGTCTCTCTCTCCCACTCCTCTCCCTTACCCGACAAACATCAGTCATATACTAGCATTTAAAGCACCTTTTATATGTGTGTGATACACTATATGAACATATGACCATTGATGCACTTAACCACATTTTTTTCTACAAAACTGAAGCCTCAACTGGAAAATAGATAAGCAATGAAATCCTATCTAGCACTAAAAACAACATGGGAGGGTTTCAAATACATCATGCTGAGTCAAAATCCAGCCAGACTCAAAAGTTATCCATTCTCTGATTCTATTTTGGAAAATGTGATCTTTTAGAAATGACAAAAATCATAGCTACAGAAAACTGATGACTTGCTATTGGGATCTGGAGGTTAGGAAGAGGTCAAATGTGACATGAAAATAGAGGGGAACCAGGGTCATGGCGTTGCACTGTATCTCGGATGTGGTGGTGGCCACTTTCCTCTATGTGCTTAACTTCACTCATTGACCTCAATGCCAAAATGTTCATTTCTCCATGTGGACATTCCATAGAGTTTCACCTCTGCAACCCTGGCTGACCACGAATCACAATTCTCCTGCATCAACTTTCTAAGTACTAAGATTCCAGGCCTGTGCAATCATAGTCGGATTTTTTTTAAAGGGAAATTAACGTCATAACAAATCCTCTAAAAGAGTACATGAATAATCTCTTTGGTTCAGTGAAAAGCAGATCATCCTGATTTTGATGGAAGTATTCAAAAGAAAAGCTTATCAAGGTAAGTTCTCCATCCAGTGTTAGGAACCAAGTGGAAACACAGCCTCGGAGAATCATTGCAACTATCCAAAGACAGGAGTTACTAACTCTGTGAACATAGACACCGGGAACAAAACATCAAAATCTAGTCCAGAGCTTTGGCTCTTCACAACAATGTGTATATGAATAGGGTTCTTCAAAATGAAAGCAACAAAGACTAGCTGTCGTTTAGCCAAGAAACACACATTAAGAAAGTGGGAGCAGAGCTGTACTGCAAAGGCTTGGAACATGTCACATTAGGGAAATTCTAAAACGTGGTGTGCCTGATGGCTTTCATGGGTCTCTAGACAGCTCAAGCCACCGGTGTAGCAGCCACTTCCTCCAGAATGTCACCCAGCTTAGGAAAGGTACAGCTGGGTACCACCACCTCACCCAGCACTCCCTATGACTCGCTTTCTACTCTGGAATGCCAGCAGCACAGGGAAAGAGATACCCATCCAAAACTCGCTGGATACTCACAAATATCTCAAATGAATGGAGGGCATTAGTAACACGCTGCTACCTTTGACCATCGGGCGATATGGATCCAGATCCCTCACTGCACACCCTTCCATCAGAGCAATAGTTCTGATGCATGTTCTGTAGATCTCCTAAATCAGGTCCTTGAGATCAAGGAATCAGCACCAGTAACAGTGGCCAACACCATCACTTGTCCTGGTGCTGACTATCTTTCCCCTCCTCTGCTTCAGGCTCCTTGCCTCCAGTGCTCCGAACTTACAGGATCTGTTACATTATTCATAGTTAGCTTTCATATCAGACTCTCAGATTCTGATTCCCAAGAAACTGAACACTGAGAAAGATCCAGGGTACATCTGCTGTTATGAGATGGAGGGAATTTTTTAAAACAATCTCCCCACTTGTGAGAATAGAAAACTTGTCTCTGATCAACTGCAACCATGGGTCTCTAGACAGCTCAAGCCACCGGTGTAGCAGCCACTTCCTCCAGAATGTCACCCAGATTAGTAAAGGTGCAGCTGGGTACCAACACCTCACCCAACACTCCCTATGACTCGCTTTCTACTCTGGAGCACCATCAGCACAGGGAAAAAGATACCCATCCAAAACTCGCTGGATACTCACAAATATCTCACAAAGACCAGGAGGGAGTCAAACTGACACTTCTTGGTTTACTTATACACCCTGAAGTCAAAGAATGTGGACTCTCACACTGTAACCCCAACATAACCTCTTTGAAAGAAGAAATGCTACTTCTTCATCAAGTATGCCAAGACTGAAAACTGGGGTAACGTGGGAAATTGTGTTATCTCATTTTAAGTTACTTCTCAATAGAGCTAACTTACCAATGTTCAAACATAAAACGGTATATGAATGGCAGTAGAATATCCCACCTTGTAATAAACAATTGTAAATATCTTTGCTCCAATGAATCAACAACTGATTCAATCCTGGTTAGATTCTTAAAACATAAAACAGATAGTAAAAGTACAATTTAGATGTACTGGAGTACTCTAACAGGTTTTTCTGGCTTTATATAATTGGTGTTTTGAATTTGGAAAGTCCAGGTTCTTACAGATGTTTGCTTTATGTCTCATCACTCTCAATTTGTCTCTCTCTCTCCTCTTTCTAGGTTAATATCCAACACAGGCATTAAGCACCTGCCAGTGGTTCAGAAGATTCAGTCTCTTCAAAAGGTTCTATTGTAAGTTTTGATTGATAGGATGTCAATCAGCTCTCCATCTAACAGATGCCTGAAAAATGAGGAGCCAACACAAATAAAATGAGTAGAGAGGTTGGTCTGTAGGTAACAGGTCAGTTTCTTTGTCCATCCTACTGGGCAGAGTCCAACTGTAGAAACAAGTCTAAAAAGGAAATATATTGAAGAGAACCTTAATACAGTAGCATCCTCTAAGGAATTCTCCAAAGAGAAAAGATTCTATGGGTGTGCAATTTCATCTGTGAGAAGAACTAACACACTGCAGATAAGCAGACCGTTTGTTGCCCAAAGTTTGAGCTGTTATCCTCTGGACAGAAATTCCATCAAACTGTTATTGCAGCTGCAGATCCCTTGGTGCCAGCAAATGGAAAGGTTGCGCAGGTGGAGCCCACACAAACATCTAATTTGTCTGTTCTTTCTTCTCAGAGACATTCAAGATAACATAAACATCCACACCATTGCCAGGAATTCCTTCAGGGGACTGAGTTTTGAAAGCGTGATTCTGTAAGTAAGGGGGGAAACGCAATGGCCTGGGTCTTGATTCTTCACTTATCCATCTCTGGCTTTCTCATAACAGCCTAGGCATTTGTTTGTATAATAACATTGGCATTTCACCGTTTAAATCATTCTATGGCTCCTGTGTTTTCCTCACATTTTTATATCTCAGAATCGCAACATCGAGTCCTGTTAATAATTCATGATTCTGTATTGTGATTCAAGTATTTAAAATTGCTCTTTGAATGATGGTCCCCATGATGCAACATCTGCTCCAAAGGACAGACTAGCTAGTGTGTCACTAAAACTGATTATTGCCTGGCAAGGCTTCTGTTGCCTGCGAAGAATGATAGGGAAGGAAGTGTACTCAGGAGATAGGACTCCTTCCTCATAATCACAGGAAGCAGCTCCCATTTGGGCCCATGCTGAGCTCACAATGACCATCATCTCTGCTCAGAATAATCACACTTGCTAATGAGCTTGAGTTAATCTGTCTGAATTCTGGGAAAGTTTTTAAATGTCCTCAGTGTCTTCAATGAATGACCTTCTAATCCTCTGTGCTAGTGGCCAGCATGGCAGTCCACCTGCTCCTCAGGATAGCCAGAAAACAAGGTGTTGTGAACCTTCCAAATGTCCACAGGATCCTTGCAACAGAACAGTGACATCTAGAGAATCACTGATTGTGATTATACCTGGAAGAAAAGAAATTCATCGTCCTGTTTTACAAATTGTTATGAGCTCATTTTATAACATGATTTCTCATGGCTTTGTTTTGGAGTAGACTCACTATGTGCAGTTTCTTCTCTCTTCACTGCTTGGTTTAGAAGCACTGTGGGATTCCTCAGGGCTCAGCAACACACTTCTCAAAACGGGATGCTTTTCTCTTGAGAGTCAACATTTTTCAGACATGTCTTTAGAAGATAAATTCACACTTGTGAGAACAGCATCTATTTTCTTACGTTGTCTGCTTGTTAATCCATAGATAATAGAGTCGGAAGATTCCTACTGCACACAGCTGTAAGTCTCCAGTTGTGCTTCAACCAGATACTTGTAATACAGAGATGCTTTCTCCTAAGAGAGCCATCCAGTGCACTCGAGCAAAATGTAAGAAAACGGTGCTGAGCACTGGCAAGCTCTACCTCATACATCTTCAAAACTTTGGAACTCTTTTCTAAAGACAAATGTACATATTTCCTTTTTCTTAAACATCCTAAGATTTCAGGCCCTTGGTAGCTGATTCAAAAAACTGAGCAATAAAAGCACATTTTGTAGGGCCTTTGAGCCCTTTCTCACCCACCTGTGTCACAAAGAGCAGAGGGGCTACTGGGTAAAGTACCTAATGAATGGCCTAATTCAGGAGATGAGAGGTGAGGTTATAATTGGGACCACGGTTCCCAGCATTCTCTGGCCCCAATTCTCTGGAAAGGACTGTGTCTTTCATGTTTTCTCTATTCCTTAACTAGCTCCCATCTACCTTGTCCATCCTTCATGAGTTTTAATGGGCAAGGCTTCATGTTTTCAAGAGAAGTCTCTCTTGAGTGTCCATATCATTTGACTCTAGGGATGACACAGGACCTAAGAAACCCTGACAGATTTTTCTTCAGCAGGATAACTTCACAGAGGGCTGTCATTCTCATTATCAACCTAACATCATCATTATCTCTTAGGAGATTTGGAACCAGGCCTAATGACACAGGCCTACATTCCCAGCTACTTAGGAGGCTAAAACAGGAAGCTTGTAAATTCAAGCCTGCCTGGATTGTAGGGTGAGATCAAGGCTAGCATAAACAACGTATCTAAAATTTCAAATATATGTATATTTAAGTATAAATATCTATTACCTATTTATAAATGGCTGAAGATATATACCAGAGGTAGAGAATGTGTCTAGCATGATCAAGGCCTTGGGTTCACCACAAAAGAACCATAGGTATAGATTAGGAATGTCTTTATAGTTGTTGGTTTCTCTGTGTTAGTAGAGTCCGACAGCCTAATAGGAAGTCAAGGGGAAAGGGTTTTGAAATAACTTGATTTTGTGTGATGATGCACCATTGACAAAATATCCTCCTGCATGTTGTGGCCTGCTAATCAAGAAAACAGTAAAGACAATGGGCTTCTTTGAAAATAGTAATTATTGTAGTCTATGTATTATTTCATTATACCAACATCTTTCACAGGACAATCTTGTGCAGGAAAGATTAATTATCTAATCTATAGACAAGTAGGTAATGCCTATATAGGCCTACAAACTCCTGGGCAAAGGTAGAGGACCAACAACCAAAAATGCACAGGTCAAATCCAGCTTGTAGCTAAGATTGGCTTTTATAATTGACATGCAAAAAGGAAAAGCAATTTTATTTAACTACTATATTCTGTAATTGTTCAATAAAATATGTGCCATCACTTTGTGAGACCCTATATAAAGCAAATGTCATCTTTAACCTTGCCTTTTGGTCTGTAAAATAGAGAAAGTTTGTTGGCACTTGTGGTTGATGTCTAACCCCAGGGACAAGCAACCCACAGGTTAGAGGCTGCTGTACCAGTCACTTTCACCACAGAGGACAGGCTGATGTATCTGCATTCTAAATGTTTCTGGGAGAGACCTTTGAGGGCAGTGACAGTAGAGAATTGGGGGTGGGGAGCAAGATGGAATGCACAGTCACCCTCTTGTCACCAGATGTTGACTGCTAATGGTCGAAAAGATTTACTTTTCTTCTCTCTAGACGTCCTAGCTCACTGGATTTCAGGAAGAGGGGAGGAAAAGGCACACGGTTGTTTGCCTGTGGGTTTTTGGGAAACGTCTTCTAGCTGCTCATCACAGCCGAAGGAGTTTCTGGAGTCCCCCTGTAGTTTCTCTCAGTCAGATCTCAGAATAGTGCTGTCAGGAAACCCACCAAGTCCAAGTCCAGCAGGGGAAGAAGCTGTAAGCAGACAAGTGCACATGGCCAGAGGCTCAACTGCTGGGCTGTCCTGACCTTGGGGAGTTGTTTTTGTTTGAAAGTCCACTCAGGAGAAGAACAGGGCAGAGTTGATGGCCCACGGTGGCCTGAGACACCCTTGTCCAAACATACCTGCCTCTCAGCATCTTCATACAGTGATCATGACAATGTACACCAACCCCACCTTCCCCAAAGCTCGGCTACAGCTACACACACAAACTCAACCTGCCACAGTCCGCAGTCGCTATAATTAATTTCTCTTCTTTTCTGCCTTAACCCAGAGCCACCTCCACAAACCTCCAATAACCAGGGCCCCACGGGTCACTGGAGATGTTCAGGTTGTCTGACAACTTAATTAGATCATTTTTTGATGGCAGCCAGGCCTGCTGCTATAGGTGAAGAGCACAAATCCTTAGAGAAAGGTGACATAAAATGTCTTTTCTCTGTCTTAGAAATATTTGCTCAATAATTGCAATTTCCATCCTTCAAGGCAGGGAGATCCTTGGTTTTCCTGTAGAATTTTCTCTATACCTGGGCAGAGTGTGCAAAGGTCTTATAGGTACAGTATCCAGAGAGCGTCCTTTTAAAAAAACAACTAAATTTCATTCATTCATTCTTTTTCTGTGAAGCTCAGTTATTCCAGTGAATAGATAATATGCAGAAATAATACAAACTTCAAAACTTACTAAAGGTTCCATAGCAATAACCAGCCTCGGTCTCCCTTCCCTCCCACCCCTGAGCTTAAGGACTGCATCTTATTTATGCCACTAACTGTGCTGTCTGACCTTGCCCCAGTGCTTCCAATTACAAACCCTTGCATTGGCTGCATCTGACACTATTATGTTTTTAATGGGTTTTTATTTCAGATGGCTGAATAAGAATGGGATTCGAGAAATACACAACTGTGCATTTAACGGGACCCAGTTAGATGAGCTGTAAGTAGCCCTGACTACTCTTCCAGGCCATTTAGAGGGAAATGGCTCTTACAACAGGGATATTGATGTGACTTTCTTTGTCTTATTCTTTCTCCAACTCCATCCCCAGGAATCTAAGCGATAACAATAATTTGGAAGAATTGCCTAACGATGTTTTCCAGGGAGCCTCTGGGCCAGTCATTTTGTGAGTAACTTTGTTCGTTTCCATATAGAAGAGCTCAGCTTATACAAGTTAAAAGCAAATTTTGTCCTGCTTAAATAAGGGGCAGTCAACAAATTCAATTTTAATTCACAATACTTGCAAAGGCTTGTGGGGATAATTCAGGGTTATCTATAGTATGACTTTAAATAAAGTGAAAACAATAATAACTTGTAATGAGCATGTTCTGAGTGCCAGTGTCCTAATGGGTTAAAATGTGCTCTCAGTTCTTATAAAACCCCTCTGGGGTAAGAGTTCTTATTGCCATTTTGAAGAAAGAAAAACTGGATGATCTGGAAGAATTAAGCAACTCACTCAAGAGTAATGCAAGTTTTATAGAAGGGATTCAAAACAAACTGGCTCACAGCAGACACCAACCACTCTGCTCTGTGTCTCTCCCTTGACAGGGAAAGGCTGGTTTCCCTTCCTTTGCTTTCTACCTACGATACATATATACATGCCTTTATTGCAGTGAGATGCACACATTGTTCTTAGATCCTCTTTCCACATCCAGCAGGATACATAGTGTCTCACTCACTCCCTGGATCAGGACTCTTTGCCCACCAGCACTTCCCTACTCATAACCTTCATCAAAAGTGGCCCTGCCCTCTTCTCTTCTTACCCATGCCCCCTTTCCTTGAGGCTCTCTTAAGTCTTCTAAAGGACTCAGCCAAGAGTGACTTCCCCCTTTGACTTCCATTGCCTTTGTGGGTGGGGAGGGGAGGGGCTCTGTATCACCATTTCCAAAGGTCTTCTTTGATGTGCTTTCCTGGACTCTAAGCAAGATCCACTGAATTAACTAAAGAATATTCCTCAAGAAGAAAGGCACTTAAAAGAAATGAAAAAGGTACAGGAAGGCAGGTGAACAAATAGATAGTCTTATACCACACCTCAGACCACCCCCACCCCATCTAATGCAGACATTTGCTAGCCACGCTCCCGTCCTCTCATTTGCCAGCCACCATAGGCTCCCATGCATTTACCTGCTTTGCTACCATCCACCAATCACTTTCGCCTTCACAAATGGCTTGTGTTCTCTTTTGTGATAGAATCTTTGTATTTTCAGAGTCACGCTCTGTAAGGCAGAACGGAAACTACACAAATGTTTGTTATTGATGACAAAAGGGGCATGCTGTAATTCTGAAACAGGTTCTCCCCTTTGAAGAAAGGAAAGTATGTGCTAAGGTAGATTTATCATTCTTAGGAAGTTCAAAGATTAATCCAAAGTGCCTGAGTTGAGACAGACTCCACTAGCAAACAGCCCTTGTTAAGGCAGAGGTGTCAGAGCAGATGGCCCTGGTTAAAACTGAGTCCTTCTCATCCCCAAGCTTCAGCTTCCTCATCCAAAGAGCAGTGGTGTCTATCTCTTATTACTATCTGAGACTTAAAGGCATAAGTTGATAGACACGTCCAAATACATGTGTATACATGGATTTCACTCGTGGTATCTAACAGAACACCACCCTGGTACTACAGAAAACCGAGAGTTCTTCATCCCAAGGGCATTATATTTTCATGGAAGGGAAGTCAGGTCATAATCGTATAGCTTAATATATCTGATTATGATATTCATTTTGAAGTACAATGTAGGACACAGGAGAGAGTGGTGGGAAGAGAGTCTAAGTGCTCAAGCACATAGAGTATTCAGAACCCATAAGGCTTAATGTGTCCTGTTCTGAAAGCTCTTGGAAAATACTTCTGAGGCTCTGTGGATGGGTAGAAGTTTGTCCGTTTCACTTAGCTAATAGTCCTGAATGCTTTGGACGCTCTTACATGGGCTCTGCTATCTGTTCTTGGCAACACTTTCAATATGCCACCTACTGGATCTGTAAAGCTGTAGCCAACTGCATGCTCCCGAAACTGTAGCATTGTGTATGGTCCACAGCTGCTTATTATACAGCTGAGGCATCCAGGACCAGAGGAGGAAAGTGGTCCATGGAAGGTCATCCCACAGATAAAAATAACACAGCTTGAGGCGTAAACTGGCCTTCACACATTCCCATGTATTTGCATCATAAATGCATGTACTAAGAAATCTGAAAAATATTCATCAGAACCCCAACAACTAGTGTCGAATTGAAATAGAAGGGAACGCCAGTCTGTGATACAGAAACATGCCACAGATGAGCATGTACTGAAGTTGCATAGACAGGATCCAGGCCAGGCACTGACAATGTGTCTCCTCGGAATTTAACAGAGATCACAAAATACAAGCATCCCATCCATCCCTGCTGTGAAAGAAAGCAGGCAGAAGAAACAATACTGCAGGGCCCTTACAAGCCTATCTTTCCATCCACTTTGCTGCTGTAGTAACACATATGCTCACAATAAAGGGAATGATATTTGTAGAAAAATCCAGTGGAATTAAGAAACACTTTGATTGATTTAAACTGGATGGGAATCCTGGTGTGCTGACACCCCTATCATCCCAGAAGTCTGGAAGCAGACACAGGAGGATTTCTGTGAGTTGAAGTTGGCCTGGGTTGGTCACATAGTAAGTTTTAGGCCAGCCTGAGCTACAGAGTGAGGCTTTGTCTCAAAAAGCATCCCCAAATTATAGTAAACAAGAATAATATTCCATATACCCCATGCCTTTTTGTGTCAGGCATAAGTATATGTGTGCAAAAACCTGGCTGAAATCACAGCATGTGGCTGCAAATTTCCTTCTGTCCCTTCAAGGACAAGTCAGCACTTAACTTCCAGCCTCCCCTTCTGGGGCTTTCAGGTTATTCCAAATGTCGTTCAAACCGCTCTGCCTGATAACTGGGATTTGGGCAGATGACAGCCTATCTTATTTCCTACTTCTGCAATGTTGTGCAGAAACTCAATTAAACCTTCCCAGTGGGCGCCTTGTTTGGCTGACCAGCTTCCTCCAGTGCTTTAAACAAGTGAGTAGACACAGGATTGTGCTCAGACAGCCCAGAGCACAGCAGCTGCTGCTCAAGCTACGACTGTAGCTGTGTCTTGGGTCAGATCCCCAACTCCCACCCCAAATAAGAGTGCTACGGGCTCCTGAATTCAGGAGATTCACTACAAAATGCTGAGTATATGGGGAATACTTGATGGAAGCCCAGTCTGGCTGAGTTGACAACTGAATGGCAAAGCATCTCTAAAACATCAATGGGTCCCACAGCGAGCCCTAGAATTAAGATGGGTCCTCAATGCTGTATTGAAATACAGCAAGGAAGCATGCCCCTACATAAGCAAGTCATCGGGTATGGTTGACCCCAGGTGGAGCCGGATTATGTAAGTCAGCCTAGGGCAGGTCTCAGAGTGCAACACAGCTATGAGCCATCTCAGCTGTGAGTTGGTTTCAGCCGAGTTGCAGTGGGGTTTATAAATATGATTGAGCATCACAATCATCTGGAAGTTTTTTAAACCACATATTGATAATTTGTACCCTAAGAATGTTTGCTTCATTGACTCTGGGCACAAATCAGTTAGTAGTGAGCTTGTCTACCAGACACAAAGCCCTAGGTTTGATCCCCAGCACTCCATGAGATCACATATGAGTGGCACACAATTGCAATTGCTGAACCAAAGCTGAAATAAAGACAGGAAGTAAAGGCAAAAAGATCAGAAGTTCAGGTTCATCCTTGGTTGCATGAGTCACAGGAGACCATGGCTTAAAGGTGGGGAAGGAGGTGATTCGCCATCTGAGAACCAGAGCTTAAGAACTGGTATCTCTAACAATGTCCCCCAGTGGTGCTGATGTTGGTAGACCCAGAAGGACTAACCATCCCTGCTCTAGAACCAGTGTTGAGAACTGAAAAGCCTTGCTCAGCCTCAACAGATTGCACTATGTGTGGCTTCCTCTCCCATAGCCTTTCCCTTTATCGCTAGCAGAAAAGTCCAAAAGCTTCAAAGGGAATTGAGAGAGCTCACCCAAACTGTTGGCTGCTTTTTCCTGAAGGTGAAATTTCTAGCTACATGAAGAACAGTGAGCCTCTGAACACAGGAGTCTAAGCTGTTTGATTGCAAAGAGGAAAGGGTGTAGGAAGCCGGGGGCATGCTGACAAGCTCCATCACGTTTCAAAGGCACAGCATCCTCAATCCTCCTTATGAATCTTGACCTTGAACATCAGCAGCCATCTAAGTTTTCACCTGATAGCATTAACTCACTCGAGCTTTTTTTTTCTAAGCAATCAAGCGATTGCTGTTTCCTTGGGAAACAGTTTCCTGTGGGGAAAATTTAATGTATTGCCTTTGCAGGTTGGAGCCAGTACAATCATATTCTGATGGTTTATCAAATTGATTTGGCTATAGCTCAGATTCATTTGATAGTTCAGATTCAAACACTGAGTTATTTGTATAAGAATGATTCTCTTCCATTACCAGTGTACCCACAGTCCTATAGATAGTAAATTGCCTTTTTATCCCGCCTGGGATCATGAAAGAGCGGTCTTCTAGCCATCTGTCAATGTAGAATACACCAGAAATGTGCTCTCACTTATGGAAATGATTGACCTGTAATAACGTCTTTGCTGGGAAAAATAGAAATTGTTCAAATGAAATTTGTGGCAGTGGCTCTAACAGACTTTATTAAAGAGGCACGGAGCACTATTTAACTCCTGCCTCTCCTATCCCCATGCCATTACCAACTGCCCTCTCCCTTGCCACTCTGTAACTCAGTGCCAAGAATCGTAGCACTGATGAAACAATTTAGGATTACTAAATCTCTGGGGACCCAGCCATGAGCCTGTAGTGTCTCTCTTGGTACTTTGATGGGTATAAAATTTCAAAATCATACATTGCCAAAATATAGCATGTGTTGAAATATTTAACCAAGATGGTACTTTAAGGTGGGAAACAATAGTCGTTCAACTGAACCATACTAAAAGACAAGGATTAGGCAAAGCAGCCCACAGCTCCTGCCACCTTGTCCAGCCACCAGAAGCAAAGGCAGACCTTTCTGTTATTTTTTCCCTTTTCTTTAGGCATGCCTTCTTTCGACCAGCTCTGCTACTGACATGGGTGCTCTATTCTCTGAACAACTTTTCATTCCCCTCTCCTTTGGGCTCTTCCTTTTCCTCTCAAATGTAGAAGGCTCACAGGCAGCAGTCCAGGTCCTATTCTTTACGTTCACAGATCTGCCCATGGAATGAGAGGGAAGCCTTAAGGTTGATCAGGGACAATTTAAACTTGGGTAATAGTTATTTGTCAAGAACATTTCTCAAAAGCAAGCAATATAAAACTGAAGACCCATTTTTTTGCTTAGTTATGTCTTCCCACTTGAGCTTGGAACATGCATTTAATTCAGATTAGTTTTAGATATCCAGTGAAATGAACTTTTATATTCCAAAGAATATTGGCCTGTTATTTAGTATAGTTGTTGGTAGATTAAAGATGACTGCAAATTCTTTAACTGTCTTTCTATTAAGCATCTATTTGTCCTTATGTGGAACCTAAGCTGAATTGTGGGGCTTTGAGGCAACAGAATATGAAAGTGTTGCTACTTGAATTCTGGACACAGGGTCTAAGAGCATCATTAGCTGCTACATTGGTTTTGGACAGTCCAGGACTGCCATCAAAGAGCTCTGAACATCCAGGGGCAGTGCATGTGTCTAACCTTCAGATGCTGCCATACGACACTGTTGCCTGCAAATTTCACATGCAAAACTACACAGCTAAGCTTTTCAAAATCATACACAAAGTCCCATAATGTTTTGAATAAGTTTATATACATTTCTATCAGCAGGGACAAAGTAAGAAGTAAATCTTGTTCAATGTTGTTTGAGACATAATTATTCTCATTTTTGCCCTGTTCTACTACTACAACACACACATACACACACACACACACACAATTTCCTGACTATGATTTTCCCAGGTAACTTAGAAATATATTGTTTGATTTTATAATTTCTTTATTAAAATGTTCTTCACTTCTACATGACAATCACCTATGGACTGAAATAAAACAGACACCAGTTTTCAGGTCTTCATGAAAGTAGGCATGTGCAATTGTAACTAAACTGGCTGACTTTAGCTCTTTCTGAGGGAGCTGAGGGATACCCAGTGATCTCGAAAAGCATTATTTCTGAACATCTGTGGGATATTCCAGAAGACTGCACTTGATTCAGTGGAATATAGGGGGATATTTTCCTTAATCAATGAGTGTGGGCATCATCCAGTTTACTGGTGTCTTGACTTGAGCAAATAAAAGAACACAAATAAGACAAATTCACACTGTCTCTCATTTCTGGAGCTAGTACACCCTTCTTTTTCTACCCGCACATAGCAAAAATCCAGGTACAACAGCCTTTGGACTTGTACCAATAACTCCTTGGGCCCTCTGCGGGCTGAGGACTCTAACTTGGACTATGCCATACTGCCACATTCTTTGGTCCTCTCTGCTGAAGATGGCTTATGGTGGACTGCTCAGCTTTCACACTCACATGACTAACTCCCGTGATGAATCTCATCTCCTGTATCTCTACATCTCCATATGTTATAGGTTATGTGTCTCTGGAGAACTGTGATTAATGCAATCGCTATGTGCTTAGGGACATTTTAGTTAGTATTTCAAGATAGCTCAGAATACAAAGCAAAACACACTAAGGGTTATTCTGAGCAATCGTGTTTTTAAAGAATACAGGGACCACAGGATGGGATTTAGAACTCTGAGCTTTGAAAACCAGACAGAAATAGAAAATTTATATAAGAAGGAAAAATGACTCATTGAAATCTGGAGACTTTTAGTCTTGAGTACCTGGAGACCTTCACATAGTATGCATTCAATAAATTGTATATTAAATGAACTGTAAAAAAAAGGGATTAAATACAGAAAGGAGGTGGAGCGGCTATTACAAAATCAGGTCTGGGTTGATAAACTGTCTTTTCATACTGTTGCTTCACTGGTCACAGTCATCATCCTGTCCTTATCGTGGCCCATGGCTGTAACCTCATAGTTGAGTAGCTGACTCAGGATGATCACTGGAATTTCAATGGTAGCCTGGCTTATATAGTGAGTTCCAGGCCAGTCTGGAACAGAAGCTGGGACACTCTGAAACAATGAGCAGAAATGGTAAGCTGGCCAGCACAGCTGACTTACTTAGCAACAGAGTCAAGGCTCTTTGGTGGGCAATATTTTATGCACCAGAATTGCTTGCATCTGCAAGGACTCCGGATCTAAAAAATTATAGCTCAAAGATGAAGACTAGAAATCATACCTGGAACACCTAAACTTGTTCCTTATAAGCGATAATAATGAGGAAGCAACAAGTGCTGACTACTAGAGTTGTATATGTGGGGCACCAAGAAGTCTTTCTAAGGTTGAATAGAGGATTGAAAGACAGGAGTCAAGGATGCCATCAAAATCTGTCTGTAATAAGTTGGAACATCTAACTTGCTGCAGGTGGATCAGGGTTGTTGCTGTTGTTGTTGTTTTAAAAATCAAGAGGTTAATTTTTAATGTCTAAAGCTGATTAAGTGGGCATGCAAGTAGAGATTGCAGTGAGGTGGATGATCTTAGAGAAGTAACTAGAATACGGCATTTTACTCCCAAGGCATGCCAGGCTCATGTACAGAGTGAGAGAAGACAGAAAAGAACACTGTAGGTAATGAGTCCTTGGGTGTCCCAACATGTGATGGTCAGGAGGACCTGGAAAAAAGAGCAACCTCAGAGTTAAGAGGCAAATATTAGTAGATATGGAGGAAATCATGAGGAAGATAGTTTTAAATTCATATGGAGCGGAAAATAACCAAGAATATAAAAGCAAGAATTAACAAAACAAGAAGCATTTAAGTCCAGAATCACAAATGGAGACCATGGTGTCCTTCCCTCCATGATAATAGAATTGGGGGAGGTGGGGGTCAGTAAGTATAGAGGATTAGAATTGGAATAAGCAAATTTGATTTAATTGGCAAGAGGGAAATTTTAACATAGTTAAGTACTACCTAAAGGCAATTACTAAAGGTTTTGAAGATGTCAGTCTATCTGACTATCTAGTAGGAATCAGAGGCCTGGAGATTATCAGGGATAGATAGTCACTACTGAGCTCAGGACTCAAAGAGCAAGTGAGATGTAGACATCCTGTAGTCAAAGAACTAGAGAAAGTTAAAGAACTAGTTCTTAACCAGATCTGTTCAGTAGTGTCTGGAGGAGATGCAGATGCTGCCAGAGGCAAGAAGGGGTAAAAGGATATGCTCTCTTGCCATCCCCCAGGCCTCCCACCCACAGTTAAGAAGATGATTATGAAAAATAGACCTGGCAGGGGTCATCCCTCCTGCAATGCAGAAAGGAGGACAGATAATGGCATAAAATAGGTATATATAAACCAGGCAGGGGACAGGTGTACCATACACAATGATTGGTCCTTTGTCATAGGAACCGTGGGAATTTGTTGAAGAACTTGAGGTCATAATTTGATTGGCATGGTAAAGAATTTTGTTCAAGTTGTGTTTAGAAGATTGTATTGAAAAGGGAAGTAGATGACCATGGAAGAAGTTATGGGTCCATTTCATCTGTCCATACAAAGTCTCAAGCGACCCTTACTCAAGTAACAGAAAAAATTAAAGGCCAGTTGAGATGATAGACTGTGTCCAAGTGAAGAAGGAGAGAAAATCAAAGATAATTCCCAGGTCTCTATCTTGAATAACAGGGGAAGAACACAGGAGAAACATACTGAAATAGAGAATACCAACTCATACCAGACCCATGGTAACTTCGTCAGAGACACTCTTTCAAAGTGTGAGCATGTGCATGTGTGACCATGTATGTGTGTGATACTTATGTCTAATAACGGCCAGGCATTAAGTATTGTCTGCATATTCCTTCACTGTGGGTAGGTATGATTTCTGTCCTCTCACTTTAAAGCTGAGGAAATCAAGACATAGAAAACACAGTTTAACCAGGGTCACAGATCTAATAGGCACAGGGGCAGGCTATGTCTGCCATGAAAGTCAAGCTCATGTCCCCTATCTTCCTGCCCCCTGGTCATCAGGCTGAGGCTGCCTCTACTGACTACCAGACTCCTCTTTGCTGTACGACATGCTCCCTTCTTATCATTTTCTATGCTTCAGGCCATGGGTACTTTTTTAAAAAAAATTTTTTTCTCATTTTACATACTTAATCCCAGTTCTCTCTCCCTCCCCTCCTCCCACTCTTCTCACCTCACCTTTCAACCACCTCACCACTCCATCTACTCTTCAGAGAGGGTAAGGCTTCCCATGGGGAGTCAACAAAGTCTGCAGGCCATAGATTCTACCACAGTTCACTAGAGATAGTTTTATAGCTGGCCTCACCGTGGAGGAAAATGGTCGCGGTCAGGCACAAATGATATACAGAAGAGAGATAACTTATTCTACTCACCAGCAAGGATTGTGCCCAAACCAAACAGGATGCAGGTCTGTCCAATTATTAGGGCAGCCTGTTAGCTAAATCCTCCCATCAGGAACAATAGGATCAGAACTCTTCCTATGCAAGCCGAACATCTTTTTAAGCTGAATATTGACAGGGCCCAGGTGTGCTGCTAAGCTGTAGTCTCCTTTCTCACCCATTTAAAAACAAACAAACAAACAAACAAAAATCATGTTACTAGAATGTCTACTAGTTTGTCTATTATCTGGAAGCAGAAAACCTTTGAACCAAGGTAATTGGGGTATTTCATTTTCTCCCTATAGAGACATCTCAAGGACAAAGGTCCATTCCCTGCCCAGCCATGGCTTAGAAAATCTGAAGAAGCTGAGGGCCAGATCCACTTACAGTCTGAAGAAGCTTCCTAGTCTGGAAAAGTTTGTCACCCTTGTGGAGGCCAGCCTTACCTACCCCAGCCACTGCTGTGCCTTCGCACACTGGAGACGGCAAATGTGAGTCCTTCTATGTCCGCCCTGAAGGCTGGCATGGGCATCCCCGCAGTGGAGAACCCGTACACACTGGTGGTATGAAAATCCACACACAGGGAAAGTTCCTGAAGGAAGGCCTGAGGCATGTTCTGGGTCAAAGAGTCGGTGTGTAGAGGGTGAGAGTGGCTGGGTTCACAGTTCTTTGAGAAGTAATCTCAGAGGAGAGAGTGAGTCACAAGGTGGAGCATCCACCAAACCTTAAATGAGAAAACATGAGACACTGCCAGCATGGTCTCTGACTCAGACTGATACTTAACCCCCTGTCCTTTCCTTGGTGTCAATATGAATTTGTCTTTCCCATGTCAAACTCTATACATCATAAATGTCCCCATCCCATAAAATAACTAAATGCTTGTCCTACTCACATTAAAGTCAGCAAGGGAGGAGAGATGCAAAAATGCCCTCCACAGAGTGTGTGTAGTGTATGCACACTCCATACAGTGCGTGGTAACTTCCATAGAGTGCATACATACCTGTAACTTCTCCCAAGCCCAGTAAGCCACTCGGATCCACCGCAGACTTCAGCAACTCAGAGAGAGGGCAAAGGTTAAGACATCTCTTAGCTTTGGCCTTGACAGAGGCTCACACATAAACAGGATAACCAAAGCAGAGCCAGGTCCCAGTGGCAACTCTTGCAAAGGTTGCAGTGATCCTAGGCAGGATCTGGAAAGGAAAGAGATGGCGTTTTTGAGAGAAAGTCCACAAGCTCCAGACACTAAAAGGGTCTACTGGAGGAAAGACATTACCAAACCTCTCATTTTCCCCTAACCTCACCAATAGGAGCCACTCTGCACAGTCTCACTCAGCTGGAGGAGGCCTTTCCAGTGTCCTTAAATGGTAGCCCAGCCCCGAGGCAGCTCCCACGCCGTGCTATTTTACTGTGTAGTGCTCGCTCCTCAGTTAGCCAGGCTTTAACAGATACTAAGCAGCAGCAGCCAATTCTCTTGCTCAAAACAAAGGCAAGAAAAAGAGCATCAAGACAGTCCACACCCTGCAGTGCTCCCGAAGTAATGGAAAGTACCTAGCCCCTCTGCTGGTCACATAAGTAATGAAATGACACTATTTTAGGAAAAATTCTGCCAGTCATTATCTTTGTGTGTGTATGTGTGCGCGCGTGCGAGCGTACATGCATGTGTGCACACATGTGAATCCGTTAGGTGAAAAAAACCAAAGGAAACAAACACCTATGTTTTGGTACATGATGGGAGACCTATAGGCCACTGCTGGAAGGACCAGCAGAGAAAGGGCTACTTCTTAGAATTGGTGTGCATCACTGAGAAACTGTAGCACAATGCCTGCTCTGTGCACTAGGGTACAGTTCACAAGTCCGACAAGAAGTTGAAGACTGAGACACAAACAGACAGAGACGGGTCATCCTTGAAGCAAGAATGCCCACTTTATTGTGTTCCAGGGCAGCTTATATAAGGTCTCCTTGACTAAATGATCACACCCCAACTCTCAGCTCTAAGCCCACCAGAAACCATTCCCCTGCCATCAGAGAGGGTCTCGCCCTCAGAGCAGCTGCAAGCACAGGAAAACAAGTTGTTGGCTCAGAGCAGCTGCAGGCATAGGTAAACAAGTTGTTTACAGGAAATTCAGGGTTTGGGGGTCCACAGTTCCCAACAGAAAACTATCCAGGTTTAGGGACAACCCATAGACGGACCTAACAGCTGGAGGATTTCTTCCCAACAGTTACAGTTCCCAAGGGCCTTAGTGGAGGCAAATGATTTGCCTTGTTCACATCCAGACAAGAATTCTTCTAGCCAATTTACTGCAAAAGCCCTACAACAGAGAACCCTCAGGAGAAATCTCAAAAAATATTAAGATCACTGTAAGAGTGGCTGCTTTATGCCCTATGGTCCTATGCCAGTGAGCCACAGGAAAGACTCTCTTACTTTGTTGCTAAGAGATCTCTGACTTTGTCACATTCTGGTTATATGGACATGGCTTTAGGACTCTAAACCAGAAACCTCAAGTTTGCCTTAGGTGTTCCATGCCATAAAGCTTTCTCTGGTCCCTCCAGGTCATTTGGTGTTTGTACCTCCTGGATCCCTGTTATAATTTTCATTAGTGGCCTATAGGTCTCCCATCATGTACCAAAACATAGGTGTTTGTTTCCTTTGGTTTTTTCACCTAACGGATTCACATGTGTGCACACATGCATGTACGCTCGCACGTGCGCACACACACACACACAAAGATAATGACTGGCAGAATTTTTCCTAAAATAGTGTCATTTCATTACTTATGTGAACAGAGGTTTGCTAATAAGATTTGTCTTCTAAACTGTTTTATGAAATGTACTTCTTGTCCTGGTTGGGAAATAATGCCCACTATATAAATACAAGCCCCATGATACCATGGGGTTTGGGCTAACTGTCCCCCTGGACTCTTGTTGAAATGCTGGGTCAACCATACCCCTTAATTGTCATTGTGTATTTCCTATACACAGCTAACTTTGTTTTGTTTCTCTTTTCTTTAAGTTTTCTTCTATAGGCCATTTCCTCACAACTGTATTTTAACCAATGCACCATGACACATCCTTCCTGGTACCCAACATGACGTCAGTGAGCACCATCAGCTGCTCTGCACACTGCTGGCAGAGCAGAGTGCTCCCTGCCACCCATGAGATCACATGTCTTCTTTATTGTTGGTATTGCAGAGGTGAATCATCATTATCAGCATGATTTCCTTCTGCGACAGGCAGAGACTAGGGCCCAGACCTACTGATAGCCGCATCATCATTGACCAAAGGAAGCTCCAAAGCTTCAGCTCTGCCTGCTTCCATAGCTCAGGCCCTGGTGTACCCTCTGATGCATCTACTTAGCATCTGTCCATCAATGGCTGGACTCCTCAAGTTCCACTTTTAAACTGTCCCTGTGCTAACTCCTCTTTCCTTATTCTACTGAGGATTTATTTGCTGAGACACTGCAAGGCAACACTTATTTTCTTTAGCTCAGTCTATGGCACATGCATGCTCGCATCCTGTAGAAGCAAATGAGAGCTGCTCCTCCCCCAGCCACCAGCCTCTTCGTGTTATCTCGAGGGACATAAGTGCCTCTAGTCAGCAGGTGCCTTCTGTTTCAAGAAAAGGAGAGCTCACTATTAAGTAGGTAGGTGGTAGCATCAGTGATGAGAATTTTCTTTACTAAAGCCAGAAACTCCAGAAGAGGAGACTTTCTCTACATAGTGAAGTCAGCTCCTAGTCCCCTGAACTAGATGCAATTCTCAAGCACCAGAAAAGTTACCTTCTGCCCCCATGGCTGGATTGTGACTAACCCAGAAATGGGATTCAAACTCAGCACCACAGAATGGGCCGCTGTCCCCTCCACACCTGTCTTAGGGCTTGCCTCACTTCAGCTCACGGACTAAACTCGATGATTTCCTGGATTCCCGTTCCAGCCATTTTCAGTTTTGTGTGTTAACTGTCCTTATTAGTATAGCTAGGACAGAACTGAAAAATCTTTTCCAGTTTCTAAAATAAAATATGATACTCCATAAATGAAGTAAGAAAGAAAAACAGAATCTCTAAAGTCAAGATAAAAGACTTCTGGCCATTTAGTTTATTTCCAATTGGTGAGAGAAAAGAGAGCAGGGTTCTCCACGATGCCCCTTCTCACTGGGCAGAGGAGGAAGGAAAAACTCAATCTATAGTACTGGACACACCACTCCTCCCGCCCCGCCCCCCAGCCACCTGCCTCTTCGTATTGGGGCTTTTGAGGGGCTTGAATGTTCTTTCTTTCTTTCCTGTTAGTCTGAGATTGTGTTAAATTTGAGAAAATGCTAATTTAACATTTCTGTGACCTTTCCCCTTGAGCAGGAAAGGAAGAGTAAAGATATATATTTGAAGGAAAAAGATACATTTGATTTCTTTTTTTTCCATCAAGAATTCTCCCTGTGTGAAAAAGTCACACTGGTTAAGTCTTCATATTACAGAAGTATCTCTTCTCTCCACGTGAGAGTCTGAGTAGATAATTATGCATACACTTGTAGGTTGAATATTTACCACCCGGGTTTCATTCAATTCTTTCTGAAAGTGCCTCTATCCTGCTGACAAGATCTATTATGTATTTGGGCTTTCAGGGGAAATAAAAGACAGGAGAGTGCCCTGAGAGGACTCGGTGGCTCCTGGGATATGTAACAGCCTGCCAACAAACTAGGCTCCTTTAAAGCCTGCATTTGCTTCTCTGGCCGCCCACAGGGGAACTATTTCATATAACAGAACTCGGCTTATTTTGCAGGGCAAATGAATGCCTGAGACCTATTGTCACCTCTGGGGAGTGAGACGATAAAGCCCAAGATCCTGGTAGCATTTCAGGAAAATTAGCTGGCCTTTCAACAGCCTGAGCACCCAAGAGCCAAAGGATGGGGCTGCACACTCATACTCTGGTTTGTGCAGATAACACGAGCAAAGAAACTCTCATTCGTGTCAGAGAACAGAATCTCCCAGTGGTTAGAGAAATAGGAGTACGTCCACCCAGGCATGCTAGAAGATGCCTGAATGGAGGCAGGCAGGAGTGGAGTGGAGATAATATCAAGTCTATAAATTATTTGTACTTAACAGCCAGGGTTAGCCCCAGGCGCCTTCCTTCCCACATACAGGTTGTGGCCAGATGGTTTCCCCCATGGGCCATCCAGCCCAAGGATTATATATATACACATTCTTCTCTTCATTTACAGTAAGCAGCATTAACCCATGAGTCAGCCTCAAGGGCAGACAAGATGTTGGGAAGTCAAGCAATCTCAAGAAGGAACCCTATTATTTCTACTCTGTACAAAGATGGCAATATAGTTGCCATTCTGAACCCAGGATGTTGATTCTATTCCTTTTTGTGTTTTTCTAGCTCTGAACTTCATCCGATTTGTAACAAATCTATTTTAAGGCAAGATATTGATTATGTGACTCAGGCTAGGGAACAGGGCATCTCTCTGATAGACGATGACCCAGGTTATGGAAAAGAATCCGACATGATGTATAGTGAATTTGACTATGACTTATGTAATGAAGTCGTTGATGTGACCTGCTCTCCAAAGCCAGATGCATTCAATCCATGTGAAGATATCATGGGGTACAACATCCTCAGAGTCTTGATATGGTTTATTAGCATCCTGGCCATCACTGGGAACATCACAGTGCTGGTGATCCTGACTACCAGCCAATACAAACTCACCGTGCCCAGGTTCCTGATGTGTAACCTCGCCTTCGCTGATCTCTGCATTGGAATCTACTTGCTATTCATAGCATCCGTTGATATCCATACCAAGAGCCAGTACCACAATTATGCCATTGACTGGCAAACAGGAGCGGGCTGTGATGCCGCTGGCTTTTTCACCGTCTTTGCCAGTGAACTATCTGTCTACACACTGACAGCCATCACCCTGGAAAGGTGGCACACCATCACTCATGCCATGCATCTGGAACGCAAGGTGCAGCTCCGCCATGCTGCCAGCGTCATGGTGATGGGCTGGATCTTTGCCTTCACAGCTGCTCTCCTCCCCATCTTCGGAATCAGTAGCTACATGAAAGTGAGCATCTGCCTACCCATGGATATTGACAGCCCTTTGTCGCAGCTGTATGTGATGGCCCTGCTTGTCCTCAATGTTCTGGCGTTTATAGTCATCTGTGGCTGTTATACCCACATCTACCTCACAGTCAGGAACCCTAACATCGTGTCCTCGTCAAGTGACACCAAGATTGCCAAACGCATGGCTACACTCATCTTCACTGACTTTCTCTGCATGGCTCCCATTTCTTTCTTTGCCATTTCTGCCTCCCTCAAGGTGCCCCTCATCACTGTGTCCAAGGCCAAGATCCTCCTAGTTCTGTTCTACCCCATCAATTCCTGTGCCAATCCTTTCCTTTATGCCATCTTCACCAAGAACTTCCGCAGGGATTTCTTCATCCTGATGAGCAAGTTTGGCTGTTATGAAATGCAAGCCCAGATTTATAGGACAGAAACCTCTTCCACTGCCCACAACTTCCATGCAAGGAAGGGCCATTGCCCCTCGGCTCCCAGAGTCACCAATAACTCCAGTTACATGCTTGTTCCTCTAAGTCATTCGGCCCGGCAATAAAATGCAATATGAAAAATGGATCATCACCTTGAATGGCAATGACTTCCTTCTGAAGAGTGGACCAGGGAAGAGCTGGCACTGTTTCTATACTTGCGTCTAATTTCATCTTCCTGGCTCTGTGCATGGCAAATTGATCAGGAACTTAACTCACGTGACTCTTTTTAAAACTGCATTATTGGTAACAGCAATTAAAGTAAAGTCATACTGCAGCACGCTTGTTTCCTGCTTCTGTTTGGATTGTCTCAATTGATTTTGTAAAAATCATGTTCAGGAGGCTAAGTGGGGACTTGTCCTGGAATTTTACAGTGAGGAAAAGAAGACTCTCAACAACTTGTCTGAAACTGCTTGATGTATTAGAGACAGAGCAGGATGAGGCAATCCGACTCTTCTGGAATCTCCAAGAGAAACGCCGCAGCGTCGTGCAAATATTTATTGAATGCCATGACAGCTTTGTAATGGGTCAGTGTGTCTGGGCTCAACTACATCATCCAGAAACCCTTCCTTGGGAGTTTTGAGTTAGGGTGGGCCACCCAGAGAATTCTTAGGAAGACATAACATCAAGAAAAAAAAAAGCAGCAGCTGTACTGTGGTCAACACTACATTGCTGAAACTGATTCCACCAAGGCTGCCAAAGCCTCATGGTGGGGGATCACTCGACTTTCCCCTGGATCTTCCCTTGAACTCTTTGAGTGAGTTCTGGGCCACCTGTGTGTTTCCAGTAGCATAATGAAGGATGAACTTCTGTAGGATATTTTATCACCAAGGTCACAAGCAACAAGAACAGAAACTGGGTTCAGTTTGTTTCCCTGGGACTATACCCTGTGTCTGTTGAGTGTATGCTCACGATCTTTCCTTTATGAGGACATACGCCCTGAGGACACTGAGCTCCAGCATCAGATGTGAGGACAGCATCCTTCCGCACCCAGCTTAGGCAGCGTCCCAAATGTGGAAGAGACAATTCCCCGTAACAAATATTTACCACCTACACATATTTGCATTCATACATATGTATGATTGCTTCTGCTGCTCTGGCTGAACGTTTTCTAATGGAAAATACACCTATTATATGGCATGCATATAGATTACAATGTTAAGGACGCAGCAGCTTTGAAATAAAAGTGAAGATTTTATTCAGATTCTGTAATAAGCCAGGACCCAAGGTCTTCAGGCTCAGCTCCTTCCCCTGCAAGTGCACTAGCTGTATCTCGAACCTCTAGTTGACAGTGAGGAGGAAGCAAGCACTTACAAAGTGCCTCATGCTGCAGCAACTTTAACATCTATTAGTTTGCTTCTCACCTCTCCGACCAGTTCCTAAGCGTAACCAGCTCCCCTGGCCCTTAGTCTAGAATTCCTTCTGTCACCATTTAAGGTCTTGATGGGGTTCATTTCCTCTACCCCTGAAAGAATAAAAAGGACAGGAAAAATCTTGAGTACTACAGGTAGCAACAGAGAAAGTTTCGGACACAACAGACAGAGTCAGCCTGTGGAGAAAGGCTTTTAGTGGGGGTTGGGGGAAAACATACACAGCAAACATGCGAGAGAAAGACCCTCTGTGGAGGAGAGGAGACATTCAGAAGCTTGGGGTTTGGTGTCTCCTTGGGCCAGGGGGTTTAAGGATCTTTGAGAGGTTTTTCTCCTATAACTTAGGGTTGATTTGTTTGAGCCTAAAGACAGAGTGGCTAACAGACCCACAACTTTGGAATAAGCATGTCTTGATCCCACCTCGAACTTGTCTAGTGTCAGGAGAAAAATCCACCAGGGCTTGATGCTTTTGTTTCCCGTTACGAACATGATGAAGAAGCTGAAAGTTTGTCATCTTTATTATCTATCCGTAGCACCTTTTCCTGTCTGTCTGTCTGTCTGTCTGTCTGGTGATCTGTCCAACTCCTAGCTCTTGCAGTACATTGTACTACAGCAGTTCTGAAAACTGAGCATGATACCCACACCTGTCCACAGAAATGAGCCTACTTGAGTAACTAGACCATACAGAACCACCACAAATCCCTCTAAGCACTGTGCAGGTCCACCAAGGTCTGAGCACCATGAATAGCTGGACATGGCAGGGGGAGTGGCCTCTAAGGAATAAAACTGTGCTGTCCATGTGAGGTCACTGCCTGGCTGCCTTCTTGTGCCCAGGAAGAAAGGACCTTGTTACTCCTCCCAGTCATCACTCCTCTCCCCTTCCCTACCCTCTCTTCACCTCCCTTCTTTTCTCCTCTCCTCTCTTCTTCCTTCCCTCCTCTCCCCTTCCCTTCCCTCCCCTCCTCTCCTCTCCTCTCCTCTCCCATCTATGGATTCTCCCATCAGCAATCCGGTCTTCTCTTCTTAGACCAGTTGCACATGGTCCCTTAGGATTTCCCAATTTAGATTAATGGTGTAAAATGTTCCTGTCTCTCCCTCCTTCCTGGGCTCCACTTCTGCAGAAGCCAATTGTTGTTTTTTCTTCTTGATTCTTTCTCAAGGAGGTTTGTTTTTCCTACTCCCTAAGCCTCTGAGCCAGAGTGAGTGGGGTTTATACTTCTAACCCCTGAGTGCCCAGCCTTCCCCTGTTGAGTTTTTGGTCTCTGGTGGCACCTAGGCTGGAGATGACATTGCCCTGTCTTGGTTTTTATAGATGTCTTTTTCACGTTTGAACCTCCAGGTCAAGAATCTTCCATGTCTTTTTGATTTGGCAAGCAAGGATCAGGCGTTGGGGTGGGCAGGAGGAATGTAATGTGAAAAACCTTTCGTCTCTTTTTCTACCAGTGTTGTAGATAACTTTCAATAGCCAAACTCCCATTTGTACTTTGGATTGTTTTGTTTTGCTTTGTTTCCTGCTAAAATCATTCTCTTACACACAGATTTGCTGTAACATTTGGAAAAGGAATAAATGTCCTTTAAAAAGAAAAAATATTTGCCAAACAGCAAGAGGGGGACAAATTGCCTACCACACTACACTATCAAGGATCCTCGGAACTTTGAGAACTGTGAACAGTGTTTATAAAAATTTGAAAGCCTTTATGAAAGAAAATTTCTTCTTCTCAGGGATCTTCTTGAGGAACCCTCCTTGGCTAAGGCGGTGCTGACTCAATGGTTCCGCTGCCGTCTTTGGGGTGCTGACCTTATACGTTGGCCTTCTCAAGGGTGTACTGGGAGCCTTGTAGCTCTGGCAGCCCATGGTGGGGTCTACTAGAGAAAGCTGCCCCCGAGATTCCTTGGAAGGGAATGTTCAGTGAGGATGACCCAGCATCTTGAGGGAAGGAGCTGAGCTCTAGTGCTAGGGAGGCAAAGCCAGTTGCACTCCTGCTCTGCAGCTACCCCTCAACCCCCTGCGTGCAAGAATGCCAACAATTTAATGGTTGTTCCTAAATGCATTAACAAGGACATCCTGTTGAAGCCAAGCAAAAATGCAAGTCACCTCTGTCCATGGCATCATTTCAATATATTGTGAGTGGAAAAATGAAAAATTGAACAATATTTCTTGCAAATATTTTAGAGCATGAAGAAAGAGACAAGGGGAGAGGCAGAGGGGAAGGGGCAAAGAGAAAGAAAGGGGCAGGAAGAAAAGAAAAGGAAGGGGAAGAAAGACAGGCATCCCACTTTCAAAACTGGAGTCTGCACCAGTAAGGTGGTTCTGAGGACAATGGACTAAGCTAAGCCCTCCGGTTTCCTCCTCAACTCCTTGTCTGAGACACAACTACACTAATATGTTCCAATTTTTGCTGTTATATTAAACACCACATGCACACACACACACACACACACAAAATCATCACTATCATCCACATAATATCAAATGCAATCCTGGAACTCTTCCCACAGTGTATATGTATCTAGACCGTTACCGTCTAATTCAGCAACCGTAGCTGCATGTCACTACACAACACGCAAATGTGACCAACCTGAACTAAAATGACTGGAAAGTGTAAAATGCACTCTGACTTAGAAGGACGCAAACAAATAAAAGAGAGTACATGTGCTTGGACATATTGAGAAAAATAAAGCACAAAATTAAAAATTAATTTCAGCTATTTTTTACTGTGGCTTCTATGAAATTTAAATATCCCATGTGGCTGGCTTTCAATTTCTGTGGGAGAACTGATCTCAAACCCCAAGAAAGCATAGCTTTCTCCTTTCACCCTCCCGCCACTCCCTGACTCCTAACTTCCATAATTCCTACCCAGCACATCAGTTTGCTATACAATGGGCGGACCCAGCACCATTGGCAATCATTATTCTTCCTTGCTTGTGGCCAGAGGCGGTATATTTCTGAATTTAGAATCAAAAGTAGAAGCTAAATTATAAATATGATGGAGGAATAATCACCTCACAGCATAGCTGCTAAGGACACGCTGGCTTAAGACTTGCTCTGACAGGCAAGAAGATGTTCAGAAATAAATATACAACACAAGACGCTCAGAAGATGCTCTGCCCATAACTGTCACCCGCAACACTTCCTGCCATGAGATGGGACAGTTCTTAAACAAGCAAACATATTCTGGGGTTACTACGCTCAGGACTTCTAAACCCTTAGACAAGTCTCAAGGTTAAAGAAACACTGCCTTCCCTTCCTGCACTTTAACAGAACCGGGTAGAATCCAGCTTACCATTCATCTGCTGCGAGGGGTTGTTCAGGCAGCGCTTCTGAAACTGTGCCTTGTAGGTGGGATTCAGTCCCAGGAATGGGTTCTGAACACACACATGCAATTCAGAGAACTTTCAGGTAGGGCTGAGACCATAACTCAAACAGGATGGGCTCAATAAGAATTAGAGAGGTAAGGGGGTCCCAAAATAATAAACTACAAGTTCCTTTCCATTCATTTTTTAACATTTTCTTTTGATTCTTAAATGCCATGAAGAGGATTAGTTGCTTCAAGAGATTTCTTAACATACCCACATGCCCAGCATTGTCATTTAAAATAATAAAGAACTGGTACAGCCCAGGCACTAACCTCTGAGCGTGGATACTGACTGCAAGCCTTCAGCTTGGCATCCTGGCACACAATGGGTGATGTTGGCTCTGCACGCTTCACTGCAGCCCTAACCTTACCCTGGGACTGTTCATATCTTCAAATGTGAACCCATAAACATCCTTCAATCCCATCATTGCAAGCCTCTATTTCCTTTCTCCCTCCCCTTTTTCTCCAGATACTCCCTTATTGAATACCAGGAAGCAGACAGACGTGGTAGGAGCCATCATGGAGGGGTGCAGTCAGAGAGACTAGGTAATTCTGAAGTTTGTAGATGGCTGGTAAAGAGCGAACTCATTCACTGGGTTTTGTCTTGCCATCCGAGCAATTACAAGAATAGGAAACAGGTGACATTGTTTCACCAAGAACCCTGTGTATTGAAAGACAGAATCCTTCAGTTCCCTTTTCCAGTAGGAAGAGAAAAATCTAGAAAAAGAAACATACCCCCCCATATTTAGTTTTTACTTAGATCTGCAATCCAGATAAAAAGGAATAAGTGAAATCTGAACCCAACATGCTGCAGGGAGGGCACAATGATCATGAACTACATGAGCAGATGGATGCACTGCCCTCCAGCTGCAGCTGCAAGGGTCTCATGGTCAAGGAGCATGCAAGGCAGAACTCTCAGCACTGTCCACAGTCGGCAGCAGTCAACTCCTTGCCAGATCTGCTGTTCCTGGACCCAAGGTGCTCTGCGACTACCACAATGATGATGCCCCCTTCTGCCTTCCCAAAGACCACGTTTGTCATCCAGCCACTCAGTCTCAACAGTTCAGACTGCAAACTGGGAACTGTTCATGTCTGGCCCATCACTTGCCATGGACAAGCTATAGGAACTGTATGCTCAGGGACGAAGTTCTCAACCTCAAAATTCACCCCGTAGATGAACTTAACCACGAGTGTGTGTCATTATGCCATGTGAAGTCACCACCCTGGCACATGAATCCTGGAATAATTAGGTGAGTAGGGGAATCCTTGTAACCAAATCCTTTCTCTTAATTGCCTGGAGCAGCATTATTTTCTGCTATCTCTGAAACACTGTCTGTAAACAATTCAAAGGAGATAAGACCCTAGGGGGTTCATCATTAACAATGGTATCTAAAATCACAGCATAGTTGACCATGGCAGCCAGCAAGCATCTACAAGGTACAGAAGAATCTTCACAGCCACCAGAGGAAATCTTGCATGGCCCAGAAGACTTAGCTCTTGCCACGCATGATACTTGCTTTATTTAACTTGGCATCACACTGTATTCATTAGAACATTAGAAGAGCTGTTGCCATTGATGACTTCAATCTCTGGGTTCACAAAGTCTTATTCCTGTCATTGCTAATGAAGCTGAGAACTGGAGACTAGACAGGTCATAGGCCCTAGGGGAAAACCTACAACTATTATTCTGATAAATGAACATAGCAATAAAAGAACTCCTGATGATACCCATAGATCAGAATATCTTTCGGCCCTCACCAGAGGAACTTCTTCTTGGAATAGATGGCCATTAACATAGAAACTCACAACTGGATGACATGCAGAGAGTGAGGGACTTTGGAGCACTCATTCCTGTATGGGATCATCTATGTTGGAGAAGAAGTGGGAGGATTATAACAACCAGAGGAATAGACAATTTAAGGAAACGGAATTTCCTGGACAGAGCCAAGCAGATGCACATATTAACTCATAGATACCATAATGGGCTCGAGCCAAACAAAAGCTCAGCACAGAAGAGGTGAAGTGGGCATAAAATTTCCACCCCTGGTCAAGAGACTATTCATAAATAATAGCCCCTGGGAGAAGAAAAAAATGCATTTTCTTCAATTAAGTGACACTGGGTCTATCAACCACACTCCAGCACAGACTTCATGGTCAGGAGAAGTTGGCCGGTGTTGTGGCTCCTTTGTTTTTTGTTTGTTTGTTTTATTTTTGTTTTTGATTTAAAAAGAGAGATGTGAAAATTAACTTGGGTGGTTTGGAGTGAGCAGGACCTAGGATCTGTTGGAGGATGGGAAAGAATATGATTAAAAGTATGAAGTTCTCAAAGAATAGACAATAAAAATAAAAATTAAATTAAAAGGCACATACTTTTTCATAGGAAGGGGTGCTAGGGAGAAGAGATAAGCACACAGTGCTTTGTTTGGTTAAAATACAAGCTAGTCCATTCTAGAACCTTCGTGTCCTTTAATGCCTCCATCCTGAGAATGCAGTCATGATGTCCCTCCTTGTACCAAGGTTGCTGCAGCAGGCCCACATGTCTTTCAGGATCTCTCTGTAAATCTCTTTTCAAGGGGAAAAGATCTCCCTAAAGACTAAGAGAACATGAATTCCTACCTAGTATCCAAGATTGGTGCCCTGGCTGCAAAGGATATGACAAATTTAGCCTGTCATGGAAGGAAGGCTCTTTAGCCATGAAGGTGGAAAGGGGACATGGATTAGGGTAATGGATGGAACCTCACCCTCCAACCTGGAACATCTGAAATCTGCTCTCGGGGAGGTGAAGTCAATGAGGCTCAAGATCAAGATACAGAACTTTCCCACCTGTCATGTCTTTATGTTCCACTGTCCCCTCCAGTTCCACCGTCCTGTGTTAGTCTGTCCCATCCCTCTAGGAACAAACCCTAGAATGCAATCACTTGAGGCAGACACTGCCCAAGAATGCAAAGGGAAAGTGAAGTAATAAACAAAAGAAGCTGTAAAGAAAGAAATAGACTAGGAGAGGAAGAGGAGAGGCCTGAGGAACGGAGAAAGAGAAGGGACAGGGAAACCAAAGAATAGTGGTGTGGAAGGAAGTCGGCCCTTAGTTCTGTTCCTCTGTCACCCTACCCCCAGTATTTCTTTATCTGGGACTTAAGCAAACCCTGTCAACTTGCTGCAGGGTAGCCAGAACTGAATGAGATCAACCCAGCTCCACAGAAAGGCACAAGGACCGTGAAGCTACAGGTTCCCTTCTCATGGCATAGAAGGAGTCTCCAGGTGGAGTGGGAAGGGTGGATAACTGGGAAATATTACTGAAGGTCCCCAAAGCCTCCTCACCTCTGATTCTGCAAAGCCTAATCAGTCCTGTTCATGGTCCAAGATCTTCACCATATTCTCTCTTCTCCCCCACTGCAGCGGGGGGGGGGGGGACACAGCCCAACTGTTCTGTTCCCCAACAGATGGGGCTCAGAGTGGGTTGATCCCAAAGTCTGTCAGAGTATCCTCTATTCCCTTTTACTTTCTCTTGTTTTATCTGCAATACAGAATTCATCCAATCCTGAAACATTTCTCTCTCTCTCTCTCTCTCTCTCTCTCTCTCTCTCTCTCTCTCTCTCTCTCTCACACACACACACACACACACACACACACACACACACACAAAGACGATCATTAAAGAGCATCTTATTTTTAGTGCTATTCTCTACATAATAAGATGCAAAGAACATTTTCAACTTGGCATTTGGAAAGCTTTCAGGCAGTCTTCCCCCCCACGTATCATTAGCTGGGGTCATTTAAACCACCAGGTATTAATGTGTTACATAAAAATATTGTTTGGCCAAGGAAGATTTGAAGTTGT